AAATATACTTTTGGGTCCGTTTATAGTATCTGGCAGGTCCAACTATTTTTGCACCAAATCGATAGCATTGGTATATATTTGAACCAATTTTAATATATACTAAACCAATGTACCTAAAAACCCTAATAACTCGACGTGAAGAATTATTTAAGCCGCTTTAACAGAATGTTCTTCTTTACAAAAACTTTTCACAGAGACAAAACCGGGAAATATGGCCAACGAAGTTCCTTTGAATTCATTGCAATACCAATGTCCAACTCAGGAAAAGGTATAATAATTTTATTATTGTTTGGCCCGCAGACTTTAATTACATCTTCAAAATCTTATTGTGTTTGAAAATATGTTTCAGGGATCAACAGTCAAACATTTTGTCCATCTTGATAATCAAGATAAATCCAAATTTTTGGTATGGATGGAAAATAACAAATTACGTGTTGATGTAGAAGATTTTGGGAATTCAGATCGCAGTGCCAAAGCAAATTTTGTTTGGAATCCAATTTCTAAAACGTGGGAATCAGAATTTGAGATTTGAACCATATTATCATTGTACCAATTGGTTTTCTTATTCTTTTTTATTTCATCATTTACTTTTTATCAATAAAAATAAAACCATTTAATTATTCAGATCAATCAAAATCATATGATTTTGTTATCCACTTATAGTTAAAATAAATTTTTATTCAAAAAATGTTAAAAAAACAAAAAGTAAAAACAACAAAAAAATAGAAAAAAATTGTTCAAAAAAACAAAAAAGTAAAAACAACAAAAAAAATACCCGCACTTTTTAAACGCGGGTCAAAATCTAGTAAGTTATTAAAATTAATAGAGTATTTGCAGTCTATATACAAGAATTATCGCTTATTTAGCTATTTACCCATTTGTGATTTTTGGCTCTTTATTCGAAACTTACGTGACCATTATGCCCCTATTGTTTTTTTCTTCATTATTATCTATTTTTTTTTTGACAACTATTATCTATTATTTATTCAAGACAAATATTGTTTAGATATATATTTTCTGATAATCCAATGTAACACGTAAAGTTCAATGTCAGACAAGTTGCACTATTTTAATAATTTTCTTTTTTCCCCCAACCTAATAATCTTCTCTAAAATATTCTCTTCTATTTTAATCACTACTAGATCTCGACCCGCACAACCGTGCGGGTATTTTAATACAAAAATATTTGAAAATATATAATATTCTTTCCGTTTCAAATTAGATGGTATTTTAGAAGATTTATTTTGTTTCAAAATATAAGATGTTTTAAAATTTTAAAGTATAGTTTAAGGTTAATTTTAACTTTATTGGAAAATGTTCAACCAATAAAATTTTACTTTTTGTAATAATTGGATTTTAAAATTGTATCTGTAAAAATACTGTTGTAAAAAATGTAAATTCCTTAATCTTTGCAATGATCCAACACATCATATATTAAGAAACAGAAGGAGTAAAATTTATCAATAAATTAATATAATTTGATTCTATATACTATCTAATTTTATAATAATATTTATGTGGTTTATTATATTATTAATATAATATTTAAAAATTTGTATTTTATTAACAATTTTTAAAAATATTATTATGTAACATTACTAATATATATATATATATATATATATATTGTTTATTTCTAGATTTGAAATATATGTAAAAAGTAAATTAAGTTTGAACTACATAATACATAAACAAAATTTTGGGATATTATTAAAAGTATTTTACATAATTTTAATTGTTTGTTTATAAATAACAATGAATAAAAATTTTAATTATATTTTATGATAATTAAAATTTTAATTAAATAATTTTTGAAACTATATCTTGAAAAGATTCTAAAAGATCTTTTAAAAGATTTTGTTAGAATTTTCTTAAAACTATTTATTTATATTTAAAATAAAAACTATATGAAAAAATATTATAATGATGTTATGTAAAATTTTATGAAATGTCTAAGGATGATCCAAACTAAAAAATCACACATGAAGTGAGTCATGACTTCTCTTTTACTATAATAGATTTTTAATAATTATCTTCCTCGGCGTTTCTGTAACCATCTCAATGGCTTTTGAGGATGGAGCAAACCCCTTCTCTTTTATGCAGGGCTTTTATGCCTTCTATGATGTTTGCTATTGACGAAGAAATTGTGGGGAATAGTGTTTCCTCCTATTACAAACCCTCGTGCATCAGCAAAATCTTGAGCGCCTTTGATGAAACAAAGTCAAGACTGTAAGACTCTTTCCATTCAGAAAGCTTGTTGAAATTGCGGGGAAACCACAGCCTCCAGACGTTTCGGTAAGTTCCTTTTTGGGCATGCCTTCTTGGTTTGCGCTTAACTCCGTTGCTCCTGCGATCGTTGAAGTCAAAGTGTTCATCAGTTTGACTGGCTAACAAGAGAGAATGTTCATGTTCGCGAAGCTGTGGAAAGCCATCACAGTATCAGAAATTATTACCATGGGAATCATATTGCTGGTGCAAACCTCGATCAGAGAAACAACTCCAACATAATTTGCTTCGAAACTGCAATCAAGAAATCCCAAATACATATCTCTGCTCAACCACCTTAAAATATATTTACCAGAGGTACCGTACTCCTTTCTAAAATCAACTAGTTACAGAGCTGCAGGAGAAGAATTGATTCTTCTGTATAGATAGAAGGTACCCTTTTGCTGAGATTCTTTTTGACACAGCAGAAGAAATTAAATTTTCTTGGTCATGATCAGACAACAAACACCGAACACTGTTTCCTCCTATTACAAACCCTCATGCATCAGCAAAATCTTGAGCATCTTTGATGAAAACGAAGTCGAGACTGTAAGACTCTCCATTCGGAAAGCTTGTTGAAATTGCGGAGAAACCACTGTCTCCGGACGTTTCGGTAGGTTTCTTATGTCAAGATACCTTTTTTAAAGCTTGTTAGCAGGAAAATATGAATCCCGAACATGCTACTAATGTATTTAGCTTAACTGAAACATTTTTCTACACTTCAAATAAATTTTACACGCTAAGCATTCATCCCTGTAACTCAATTTTCCAAACATGCTTATGTATTTTTTTCAATCTTTCTTTTTTTTTCGCAGGTTCCTTTGGCTGATGAATCCCATCTGAAGAAGTCCCTGTTGTCGCAGACGATGACTCTAGAGGTGGAGAAGACATCGTAAGCTTTCAACCAACTAATATGCTATGTATATTTTTAGCTGTTTATACTTGTTATTTCTAAAACAATGTAAGCAAATGTTAAGGGTCCAATAAAACAAATAACAGGCTAAGACGTAGTGTTTAAAGCTTGTTAGCAGGAAAATATGAAATCCGAACGTGCTACTAATTTTTTAGCTTGACAGAATCATTTTTGTATACTTCAAATAATTTTTACATGCTAAGCATTCATTCCTGCAACTCAATTTTCCAAACATGCTTATGTACTTTTTCACTCTTTCGCTTTTTTTCCCCAGGTTCCTTTGGCGGAGAAGACATCGTATGTTTTCAACCAACTAATATGCTATGTATATATTTAGTTGTTTACCGCAACTCTTCTTATTCAAGCTCATGTCGTTGGGGCTGTTGATGTCTGCAAATGCATAACAACGGATGTTCTTGATGTGGAGGTGCAAAGGATTGCAGTCATGGTTTATGAAGATAATATAGGAGTTCTCTGAATTCAGTAACCGAAGCTTTTCAACTGTGATCGTTGCTATGTTGTTGTATTGTATTATCTACCCTTATGTTATAAAGATCATCGTCTACCCTTTTGTTCTGGAACACTTCTTCGAATGTCATATTTTATCTTGCTATGTTTACTTGTATATGTATTTTCCTATGTGTAGCCGTCACTTAAGGGTGTTATTGGTTAATGTATTTTGATTGATTTAGAAATCTGTATAGAATTTATAAATCTTAGCAAAATATAATGATTTCCAAATCTAATATGTGAATTTTAATAATTACTTACACAAATCCGATGATTTTCCTTCGGATTTTAATCCTTGTATTTTTAACAAAGAAATCCACACAAATCCACCCAAATTCATTATAAAATCAAATCCATTAATGAATCTGTATGATTGAATAACACATGATTTGAATTAGAATTTGTAAATCATGGAACCAATAACACTTGATTCTAACTTGGATTTTAAAATCATGGAACCAATAACACTGCATTTTGTTTAGATTTACAAATCCATCAAAATACATAAACCAATAACACCCGTGTCCTTACAATTATTATTCGTTTTAGGCTAATTCAACATACTTTAATGTGTATAATAGATCCCTTATGATCAAAGCGAGTTCAAGTATAATGAGTTGGTTATTGTAAAAGTTGTATCACGCTACGGTATGCAGCGTATGTATATTATTTTCTTTAGACTTCCACATAGCATAGACTTCTGGAATCTAAATATCGTTATACTACTGCTTATAAGTACCTATAATTTGTAGTGATTTAACCTTGTAATTTGATTAATAAATGGCTACAATTTTTATTTTGTAAATTTTATCTATAGTTGATTAGTAATTTTTTTTAGCACATTTTCAATTCTTTTCGCGGACCCATATACTACATACTCTAAACAGTTGACTCGTTATCTATTAGTTGTTGGGTACGTTTTTATAACCGGTTAGAAAAATTACAATACAAGAATTATTGTCTTATTAGCCCTTTACGAATTTTATAATCGGTCTAATTATATATTTTAACCTGCTACAACTGTAACAAACACATTCCCATTTTTTTGTGTGCTCATGCGTTCTTTGTTATCACTATATCATATTTCGTCCTTGATAGACCATCCACCTTTATATTTTTGAAAGCTACAAATAATTACGGAATAAATCTTAGACCAGGTCCATCAAGGGGTCCTTGAGCCAAGGTCCTAAAGAAAAACCAAAAAAATAAATGAAAAAATAAGAAAAAATAAGAAAAAGGAGAGGAGCGATACTGAAAAGGGGAGTTTAGGGATTGTTAGGGAGCCTTACGTGGCACTTTGTCATTGGACCGTATGAAGAGAGTTTTTTCTCCGTCGACTCTCTTCTCTTCTCTCTCGATCTCTCCATCGTCTCTTTTCTCTTTTGGGCCGGTTTGCCTCACTCTCTATCTCCTGTTGAAACCTCTTACTACCTCTGACGGAGGTTTGCCTCACTCTCTATCTCCTTTTGTTAACCGATTGCTCAATTTCACCTTCCTTTTTTTCCTGTGAATTCAATAGGTGAAATCGCCGAGACTCCTCCCAGAGAGAAGAAGCATAAGAAGAATAAGAAGAACAGGAAGCGATCTGAACCTGATCCTGATGTGCCTTCAACAAGAGAGACTTGTGATTCCGGTGAACAAAAGTTACTGTTTTTTTTTGTCGAGATTTTGATTGGCTCAAAACTTACATTAGGGTTTCGTGTTTATATATTATGGTAGGTGTTGATGAGGATAGAGATGGAGTGTTAGTAGACGATGCTAATAACGAGCCAACAATGGGTGATAAGTTTGAGAGTCTTAACTTATTAGGAGGAGAGAAACTTAGCAATGAGGAGAGTAATGATAAGCCTCCTACTGCAGCTTCTGTTAACATTCTTCTGAGACAAGCTTTGCATGCTGATGATCGGTCTCTTCTACTTGATTTCTTGTACAACCGTGATGAACAGGTTTATAAGATAGTGTTCTGTCTTTTTTCTTTTACTTCTTTTATTTTAATTGCTTGATTCATTGTTCTTAGTTCTGCCATTTATGTGTGTTTGTTTGCAGGTGATTGCTAACTCGGTTGCTAAGTTGAATTCAGATGAAGTACTCAAGCTTCTAAACTCTCTTCTACAAATACTACAATCAAGGTGACATTTAAAGATATATTTTGTGTATTTTATGATCTGTTTATGTGTTTGTGGAATCTGTAGTGATTTTTATACTTTCTTTCCCTGCAAGGGTGCGGTTTTAGCTTGTGCGATTCCATGGATAAAGTGTCTGTTACTTACTCATTCCAGTGGGATTATGTCCCAAGAGTCATCCTTGCTCGCTTTGAACTCCATGTATCAGGTTAGGAACTGCATATTGCGGCTCTGTTAGTCAAACTGAAAGTTGGGATAGATGAATGATTGATATATGTTTGATTGGTTTGTGTGTGCAGCTCATTGAATCACGGGTATCAAACCTTCACACTGCCGTTGAAGTTTCAAGCAGCTTAGATTTGGTATGTGTTGTGTTTCCCTGAATGAAATAAAGAATGTGATTTTGAATGTGTGACATTGGTGTGAAAGTTGGGATAGATGAATGATTGATATATGTTTTAAATTTTTTTTGTTTTAAGTACCTCAATGAGGTTCTACCAATGGAGGATGGAAAAAAAAACAGATTATAGAGGTTCTATAACTGTCAAATCACTATATTAAACACTAATTTAAACTTAAGTACCCTATTAGGATCCTCATGAATGGAGCTGCTCTTAGTTGGGCTGCAGCTTGTGTCAGATTTGTTGAAATTCCTATTGGTCAAAACTTTCCTACTTCTCTCGTGTCATGTACTTGTGTGGGGGGGGGGGATATTACTAAAGGTAATCATTACGAAACTACCAATTAACATTTAAAATTATTTTTAGCTTCTAACCTACAGTCTACCTAGGTTAGATGTTTCTTATGCAATGAAAGGTTAATTTAGACATTTTGACTGAGCAACTTGCATAATTAGGCCCACACGAAATTTCTTTTGGGTATTTTGCTAATTAGATGATTCTTTTAGGATTTTAGGCCAATTCACTCTTAAAAGTATATATTTTTCAATAGATAAATATATAAAATAAATTAAATAGTTTTCTGATATTTAAATAATATATATAATGTTAAAGGATGTCTTTATATTGAATAAAATGATAATGTGAAAAATTTCATGTATTTAAATATTAATATAATAAATAAGTAGGAGAAAAACATGTTTACTATTATACATAAAATAAATTTAAATGTGCATAGTGTTAAAAGTAAACAATGATATTAAATTAGAAATATATATGACAAGTATGGTGTAAATATTTCATTATATGTTGTGTTTAAGTGATATAAAAGTTACAAGATAAAAACTATAGTTATTATTTTTAGAATATTATGCAAAAATATAATCATGAAAATTTGAGAATGTAATAACTTCAAAATTAAAAATGCTTTAGAAATTAAAAAGTAGATGAGACAGTCATTTTATCGTATGTGTTACATGTAAAGTGATTCCTCTATTATTTTAAGAAAAAAGACAAATATTTAGAATATCCATCTTTTGCAACTAAAGCTCCGAATGAAAACAACAGATCAAGCTTTTCGGATCAAACAAATTTAGCGGTACAAGTGTGGCTCAAATAAATCTGTGGTTTAAAACATATGTCCGAATGGTGAAAGTGATTCAAAGTAATGTGAATATTTAAATCAATTTTATACTATTTGTTTTATAATGAAAGGTAGTTATTTTTCAAAAATAATTTAAAATAAATATGAAATAAATTTTTAAAAATGTATAGGACACACTAATTTCTTGTAAAATATTTTAAATTTCTATTCCTGTCTAGATTCATTGACTACTTCTTGCTTGGATAATAGAAAAATTTTTGATGTTAAAAAAAAGTTATCGAACGGAATGATGAATACAAAATATTTTTACACTACGGTAATCTATGCAAAACTCTTAAAATAAATCTGAAATAATATTCTTGGAAAATTATGAATTAATATAATTTTTTCTATTATAATTGATACTTAATTGTATAATGTTCTTTTATTATGAATTAAAGTGACATACTAGATTTTAACTCACGCTTCGGAAGCGCGGATGGTTTTATATTATAAAGAAATATTGATATGAAATAGTATTTTTAATTGTTTTATAATATTATATTACAAAGTCGTATTATATCAAAGAAGATCATTTTTTAAATTATATAATTTATTAATTAGTTTATTTGATTTTTTGGTGTTTGTTTGATTTTTCTAGTATCTTTTCATGTAGCATATATTTTGGGTTTTCAAGTATTTTTGGGTTTCGGATATTTCAAGTCTTTTTCAGTCTTATATATTGCACTGGTACAGATTCGTTATGTACAAAAAAATTACAAGTATTTTATAGGTATGTGAATAATGGACCCGGATTCGAAAGGAATAAACCCGAACCTAAACCGAAACTTTTTAAATACTTAATTAGGTCAAATGTCTAGGCTGAAGAATCTGGACCCAAAATGAACTGATCCGTACCCAACCTGAAGATATGATGCCCAACCCGAACCTAGACCCCAAATGAACTTGGATCTAAAATATTAATAAATATATTTGAATTAATCTCAAAAATTTAAATGTCAATTATTAAATTATTAATTATTTAATATTTAAAGAAACTTATACAGTTTTATTTTGATTAAAAGATGGAACCTATTCTATTAGTGTTGTCCATTTAGACCAACATTATCACATTGAGCTGTTTAGACCCGTTAAATTTATTTTAAAATTTTCAAATATATATTCCAACATCCATATGAGGTGTTTGCTATTTATCATTAGCATTAGGCGTCAACTGGGCCATGGAGCAATTGTTGGACGTTCGAACTGACTGAGGCAAATTCAAATAAGCCTTCAAGCCAGTAAACATGATCACTGATGATGATGGATTTTGCGTCATCCCCTAAAACCCTCCACTTCTCCTTCCAATTGCCAACAATGTTTTTCAGGAAACTCATCGCCTCGTTGTAGAACGCTGCATTCACCTTCGTTGATAGCAATAAACCACTTCATTTTTTGCAACAAAAAATCATTAAAAAAGAAATAAATAAATTTGAAAATAAATAAAAATTAAAAAATACATAATTAAAACTAATTACCGCAAAGCACTTGAATCAAGTCCTCTGAACGTGGTCCGATGTAAGAGACCAGTTTTGATTCGCTTCCCGGAAGTTTGCATTGATGATACCTGAAACGCTTCGTATTAGGCGATTGTCCGTTGGAAACCTAAAAATTTTGAAAAATATATTAGATTGATATATAATTGTAATAAATACAATTAAACGTTTAAAATTAAAATATATATTAAAAATTACCGAAAAGTGTCGGATTGTCGATCTGGGTCAATGATGCCTAAACCTTCTCGTCCCGACATCTGGAGGAGGTCTTCCATCGTAAATGTAGCATACTGAGAATCCGATGGCACCTTAAAATCCGGATGGAAAGCTGCAGGAGCTGGAGCAGCTTCAGAAACTGGGGCAGCATCATCAGGAGCGGAGTGAGGCTGCTGATGAGGATGGTGTGGACGACGCTGATTGATGTACCATGAATTTTACAAGTTTCCGCCCATGATATATGTTCTCTATTGAATCTATTATATGATTTGGGAGTATATGTTGGAGTTTTTACAGGTTCAGGTACGTTCTGTAGAACTTTGGTGATTTTGGAGCCTTTTGAGGTGCAGAACAGCATAGACACGTCAGATGTTTAGCCATGGATGGAGATCTTCCCATGGTGAGACTGAGCTTATATTTTTTCAAAATATAGAGCTTTGAGTTAGCTTCCAATGCCACCAGTTTACGGTCCATCTAACGGTTAAATTTAAAGTTATGCCTAATTTACTGAAGAGTGGTATGTCTATCTTGCGAGAGGAAGCTGTCAAGAAGATGAATGAGTGACGATCTACGGTGCAGTATTAGTGTCGATCAACGGTGCAGTCTTAGTGTCGATCGATGGTGATCTCAGAAGATAGGCCGAGTTTTTCAAGACCGATTAAATCCCAAAAGTCACTACAAATTACTAGAATACCCTGGACGATTTTAAATCCTATTTATGTGTTTTCTAAGCCATTGTTGACGGCTAAACTTTCTTTTACTTCTTTTATTAATTGTTTTATGTATGGAAAGAAGATCAATTCTCTTTCAGAGATTGATTGGAACTCCATTGGTTTTACGATTGATTTTTTTTCTATTATTTATTGAGACTATGATTTGTGTTATTGCTTTCATGTCTGCGTAATCACCTTGTTAGATTTAGGGATTTCATGAGCTTAATGTCAAAGTGAATATGTTAGGATTTCTAGGGTTGTTTATTGAAATCTACACCAGGGTAGATACTAGGATGTGAAATAGTTAAAATACCACGATAGTGTGACTGATTGTTTGAACCTAGAACCATAGGACAATTGAGAGGCACGAAGGTGCAACTGATTAACGGAACCCGAGCCTTGAGGGGATTAGATACCTAGGCGCATACGACAGTTGGTCTAAGAATCTAGTTGAACATAATCGATTAGGTCTTAATGATTGATTTATGTGAACATCGATCGATGCTAGCATCGGTCACCAGTTTATTATGAGTTCTCAACGAGAGTTGATGACAATGACTTATATCATGTTACTTGATCTTACTATTTTCATTAGAGTTCTAGATTTAAATCTATAAAAACCTTAGCATCCTGAACTGTAGTTTTTAATCTCTTGACTGAATAAATCCCTAGATCTAACTTTATCTCCTTATTGTTTAACACCTCAATCCAAACTTCTTACTTATTTACTACTCTTATATTTACTGCCTAGCTTAATGTTAATATCTAAAGTCTATTGTTTTTCCACGCTCCCTGTGGATTCGATTCTTAAGTACTATAACCGATCCTCTTATTTGAGAGAGTAAAATCATTCCTTAGGGTAATTTGAGTGATATCCCTGATCATACTGAAGATGGTATAGAGGCTCATGCTGAGGATAGTATTGAGGAGCCTCATACAGAGCAGGAGGCAGATACGGTGCTGGAGGAGGAGGAGGAGGCACAAACGGCTGAGTCGTCTACGGTAATCTTCCCTGAGATTGGCTCTCAGGGACAAACTTCTGGGCGGATGCAGTGCCGGAGCTAGAAGATGGATCCTGCGGACGGAGATATGTATCCGCATAAGAAGGTCTGGCCAAAATGTTCCTAAGTCTCTTTCTACCGCTAGCCATATATATCGTTAGTTTATTAACCAACGAAACAAATTATGGTTATAATAAAAAATAATATAAAACTAATTCCAAACCTAATCTAATTTCATCATAAAATTATTCCAAACCTAATATAATTTCATCCTAAACTAACCATCTAAGAACTAAAACTAAAAAAAAAAACCTAGAGAGATGGGAGATCATTTTTGAAGAGGGAGAAAGGAGAAAGACAATGGCTTCGATCGCCTGTTAAGGTTTATTTAGGGATTTAGGTTTCGTCATAATGT